AGTCAATGTTATCATTTTCAAGAGTTCAAGGTTATCAGAATCGATAACACTTGTGCATTGATCCCTTGAGCTCGAGCATTGGATTAATGCATAAGGTAGTGTTTAGATTATAGAGTAGAATTGAAGGAGAGCGAGCAGATGGATTTGGAGGCTGGAGGGAGGATTTATTGTTGTTTGGATTAAGGGATTTGAAGGGATTTGAAGAAAATTTTTGTAAGAGTTTGTGAATGATGTAATGGGTGTGATAGATTAAAAATATGTTTTAATTGATAAAATAGATGATTACTAATTTGCCTTTGTTGATTTTCTATATCCATTTAAGTTTAAGTAGTAGAATTTATATTAAAATGAAATTAAAATTGCAAAAATAAAAGACATCTTTCAATAGAAGAAGTTATGTTTGAGCTCAATAGGGCCAATTTCACTCCTCTTAACAAAAGAGGATAAGGTCGTCAAGCTTGGCAATAAAGGAGAATGCCCTCAAGTTCAACAAACAAGGTCGGCAAGGTCAATCTATCTCAGCTAGGTTAATAAGAAAGATATGTTTAGCTCAACAAAGTCAGCAAAAAAGGTGAGCAAGCTGGTTTTAGCTCGGTAAGGTCGGCCCAGCAAGGTTAGCAAGGTCAACCAATAAGTTAGGCAAGCTTGCTTTTAGTAGTCATTTCAACAATAAGCAAGGAACCCCTTCCTTCTTTGAAATTGAAGCACAAGTCAAAAAATTTTCCTTCCAAAATACACCAACAAAATGAGTTAACCCAAGAATCACCACGATGTTACCTTATTTTGAACGGATCACCAACATTTTTTTGGACCATCAAACCAAACAGCTTTGAGGGAAAGGCATTCCCACAATAAAGGTGCTATGGGACGAAAAGACTTAGGATATCACAAGGGAATTAGAGGAAGACGTGTGAAAGACATATCCATATCTTCCTCCTGGTAAGTACATTTTTGTGTGTAAGAGAGAATGTAAGACCTAGGAAAAATATTTACATGAGAAAAAATAGATAATAGATAGTAATATGTATTTAAATTATTATTATGTTAAAAATTTTGTGATGACTTGTTTGGTTAGAAGCCTTGTGTTGAAAGGATGAGGCCTTGGGTTTGAGTCTTACTCATGATTTTTATTTTGTTTTTATTTCCTTGGTTAATAATAGAAACATGGAGAGTAGCGTTAAATCCTATAAAAATGGTATGTAAGGCAAAGATATGTGGTAGCTCAAATGGTAGGAGTGGGTTTAATTCCTAGTAAGGAGATTTATGCAATATATTTTATGGGATTTTTTGTAAAGAACTTTTGGAACCCTATTTGAAGAGCCACATGGATAATAGACTTTGGGGCTGACATGGCATGCTTTGAGACAACACGGGAAAGTTAAAATGTGATATTTAATCTACATAGCGGGAAAGGGAGGCCAAAACGTGAGGGTGTCGTGATAAAAATATTTTTGTTTATCAAAATGTTCATGAGAGCTAGTAGGTGCAAAGCAAGGGTGTTCTCGATCAAGTTGACATGTAATCTTTGAATCAAAAGGGATGAAGAACTGCATTTTGATCATAAAGAAGGAAAGAAAGTATTGTCAATCAAGGTAATGGGTGATAACCTATCTCTTTTTTTTTGTGATTCTATGTAGAGAAAAGTTTTATATCTTATTTGAATGGTAAAACTTGTTGTTTTGGTGATGTTGTTAAAATGATAGCTTATTTAATTGAAAAATCCATGGGAAGGAAGCGTATAGGCATTGTTGGTTCAAAATTGGTGTGGTGTAAGGGGAGTTAGTTATTCTATTCATTTTCTTATTATGCGTGTAGGAATGATCAATTGTTTTATTGATAACTAAGTATTAATTTCTAAATCCATGATGAAATCATGTTGATGTATAAATTGACGGTTGATACTATTATCGAGTGATTTAGGAATAAAATTGAGTTGAGGCATGAAGTATGTATACATTGTTTATGCATTTTGGGAATTTTGCAATTTCAACGAATTGCATGTGGTGTGTATGTAGGGAAAGTGCAACTTTGTTTTATAAATATAATGCCTTAAAATCACTTCTTCATCTAATGCCTTTTGATATTTGATTTGTAAATCATGAAATTCACTTTTTAATTTCTCATATGCACCATCCAATTTTTTAGACTCATTCAACAATTCAAGAAACGCCCTTTGCAAGTCAATTTCACTAGTTTCAAAGCTAGAACAACTTACTTGGCTTGTAGTGTCATCAAGATCAGCCATTAGACACAAGTTTGGTTCCTCATCTGAGTCACTTGAACTGGATGAGCTAGAGTCATTTTCTTCCTAAGCAGTGTATGCTTTCTTCTTCTTTGGAAATCTCTTTTCTTTATTTTCTTAATTTTTTTTCTTTTTAGGACAATTCGCCTTGACATGTCCTCTTTTCCCCACACCATAACACTTGTAGCTAGAGGAGGACCTTTGATTATCTTTCTTTTCACTTCTAAACTTTTCCTTACCCTTTGCTCTCATGAACTTGGCAAATCTTTTGATCATGAGGCTCATGTGCTCGTCATCATCAGAATCATCTTCCATTCTTGAGCTCTTGCCTTTAGAAACTTCAGTTTTAAATGCCAACTGCCAATAATAATCGATTATCATAAGTGATAATCGATTATTCCAGGCCGTTATGAGTTTTGGAAAATGTGATAATCGATTATCCTTAGTGATAATCGATTATTGTCGAATCCTAGACAATATCAAAACTTGCAGTGATAAACAATTATCCCATATGATAATCGATTATTGCCGAGACTAACCCTTTTCTACTTTTTCTTGTGATAATCGATTATCTCTTATGATAATCGATTATTGCCAAATTAAATCACTAAGTTATGAAACTTTTAAGTGCTTACAATTTGTAAAGTAATTCCTATACAAATGATTTCTATAGAAAGTGTTTTTAACATTTACAGTATAGGTTCTTCGAATCTTCAAGTGCATTATCATCAAAATTACTTCAAAGCAATAATGCTTCACATTGGTAACAACCTCCTTGCTTTCAACCCCACCACTTGTACTACCTTTAATAAAGTCTACAAACTCAATTTTTTTTTCATTAACTATATGTTCAACATAAATATCTACTTTATCTCTACTTTCCTCTACATAATTTGTTAACTCCATGGCATCCCTGTCCCTAAGGAGTTTCAAATCCCTATACAGGATTCTCTTACTCAGCTTCCCCATAACTTGAATTGACCAACATATTTAAAATTCCTTACCATACCTACAACTTCAAAATAGGACCACACATTTTGGTCAACATTATGTATCCTATGTTTCTCCCCACCCTTGTAACATAACTTCTTCAACCTCACAAATTTACCCCTATGGTAGAATGTTAGATAGAAACTTATTTCCTACAATGTCAAAAATTGATTCAAACACTGTACAAGATACCCCTAAGTCATTTTAACGAAACCACAAATGCATTCATCAAAATACAAAACCCTTAATTAAAATAACTTTAAAAAAATTTCATTCATATGATACTCAAATATAGCAACCATTGTTCAGATTAAATACAATAACATGAATGAATTTCCCAATTTATCTTTCCAAAAATTCAAAGAACCTTAAAAAACATATCTTTATTTTCATAAGGTTTAATCCTTTTCGACATCCCTATTTATGTACGAATGTCTCAATTGGGTCCTCGTTTTTTAAAGTGTATCAAAATGGTCCTTAATTTTGAAAATTGATATCAATTGAGTCCTTTCCGTTAAGTTGGCTGGACGGCGTTAAAAAATTGATGAGTGGATGCTGAGATGACGAACGAATGCTCGTCCACCAGCGAACGAACGCTCGTCCACCAGCGAACGAACGCTCGTCCACCAGAGAACGAACGCTCGTCCACCTCTTACTGCTGGACGACCGTTCGTTCCACACTGGACGACCGTTCGTTCGGTGGTCGACGAGCGTTCGTTCGCTGGTGGACGAGCGTTAGTTCGTCATCTCAGCATCCACTCATCAATTTTTTTAACGCCGTCCAGCCAACTTAACGGAAAGGACTCAATTGATATCAATTTTCAAAATTAAGGACCATTTTGATACACTTTAGAAAACGAGGACCCATCTGAGACATTCGTACATAAATAGGGATGTCGAAAAGGATTAAACCTTTTCATAAATGAAAACCCTAGCTATCGTTGACTATACTCTCACATCACAATCACACACCACCCTCGCACTAGCAATTGAACCATTACAAACCAAATTCCAGCCACTCACACTTCATAAAGGCTTTCATAAAGAAAGGAAAGAAGGGACTTTGCTAGTGCGTACAAGAGTTTATTGTAACTACATCTAAACAAGTTTCATGGACGAGAGGGAAAGAAAAATTTATTCAAAAAATAAATTAAATTGGTTGACGAGTGATAAAAACAGAAGAAAAGAGATATTACCCAATTTGTGAGAAATGTATTTCTTTTCCCAAAGTCCAATCTGAAACACCATACACAATATCACTTTTAAAACAATTCATTAAAACTGTCATATAAAGTATAAATCATCTTTATCTATTCATATATCTCTTTATGTATCTATTTACCTATTCATCTATTTGTCCATTTATCTTTGGCTTAATAGGTTATTTCGTCCCCAAGTTAAGAGCTGAATTTTTGTTTAGTACCCGGTTTTAAAAATGTTTCTATTTCATCCCAAAGTAGTATAAATTGTATCAATTAGGTCCCTTCCGTTAAATTCACATAAACGGAGTTAACTCCAACAGACAAATCTGTATTTTTTCTTCTCTCTCCTCTAGATTTTCTGTAATATTCCAGCTTTTTTTCTCTCTCTTCTTCCTCACTTTTTCTCTGTACTCCTCTGCACTCACAAACCCATCTCCAACCCTCTTATACCTTCATCTCTCCCACCATCACCTCCCTGTTCACGTACTGCTCTGCATACAGTGGCCATGCAACCATCGACACCCCCGCCACCACCCCTTCCAACACCGAGTTCCACCCGGAGTGACTCACAAACCCCCCACCGATTCACGACTGATCGACTCCAAGCACTTGAAATCCGCCACGCGCCACACATTGACCGTCTTGTCCCACGACCCAGAGTACAACAACCCTTCGTCCTTGTCCAGACTGAGATTCGAAGCAGCGTCGAAGTGCTTCACCTTCACCGTGTTCCAGTTCTGGCGAACCTCCACATAATTCTTGGGGTTCATGGAATACTTCATGTAATCTTTGAACGTTGGCAAGCTCCCGATGCGTTTATGCTTGCTTGGATTCTTGGAGGAAACCTTCCACACTCTGATCTTACCGTCTTGGTGGCCGGTGAAGATTTTTCCGGCGGCGATTATTATGGTTTTAACCAATCCACTGCTTGATTTGAAGTCAGTGTAGTCCTTGAGATGCTTCCAAACTCTTATATTCTTGTTGTCGGAGCCTGTGTATAACAAGTCTCTGGAAACGGCCAAGGAATATATGTGACCCTCTTCGCGAACGAGGGATCCGATGAGGCTGTTGCCGGGGAGGTGGTCTTGGTGGTGGTGGAAGGGGTTTATCGCGGGTGAGGCAGGTAAAACCCATGGAGACTTGTTGAGAGGAGATGAAGAATGGTTTGGGTAGTTCAATGGGGACATGGACTAGGGAGAGACATCATTGCTGCTATCGGTGTAGTTCATGTGGTTGGCGTTGTTGCGGTGGTTATATTTGAAACAATATATTTCCAGAAGACATTAAACTTTTAATGGAAGGTTTTATCTCAGGTTTGTTAAGTTATTTTTAATATAATTTTGTCTACGTTTCCTGTGATTTAATTACGTGAAAAGCTGTCTTTGTTAGATAAAAATTGGTACCCAAAATCCATCTTAAATCCATCAATTCTCCATTTTTAAGAATGGTTACAATTCATGAATATTTGATAAAGATACTGAAATGTAATGCTAAACAATAAATGTATAAATCAAGCAGAATAATACAACACATATCATTGAAAAATAGAGGTGCAGTTTGAACATTAAGGCACATGTAACATGCAGTGAGGAGCTGGAAAAAGAGAGATAATTAGTTATGCCCTTGGGACACATGAAGGAGGATCCCTAAGAGGGTGGACAGAGGAGAAGTTTGAGGAAAAAGAAAAGGAATAGTATATCCAAAGATTTTGTGGCGCAGTGGAGTATGTGAGTTACTGTACGTGTCTATTTCCTATGTTTCTGAGTGTCTCTTTGTTTGTTATTCTGTGTTACATTCTGATTATTCCTTATTCCTTTTCAGGTCCTTATTCTAGAGGAATGCAAGAAGGGAGGTGTTGGAGGCCGAAGCACATGGCCTGGTTGATGGAGGGAGAGGGCAACCAGTTTTGGGATTAGAGGGATGCGAGTATGCGGGATTGGTGGCATGGAGAGAGAAAATTGGGACACAGCCATAGACCCGAAGATTTCTTCCAACACTGCCTTCTCCTCCTCCTCTTCCCTCATCTTTCTTGCTTCCACTTCTCTTCTCTTTTCTTTTCTTCTCTTCTCTTCCTAGTTTCTTGCTTGCTGCTTTATATTAAATGATGGAATCAGCTATAGATTTGATCCCCCATTCTCCCTCATCAAATGTGGTTTCAACTTATTTGTTATATGAATGTTGGAAGGGGTGGTGGCGGGGGTGTCGATGGTTGCATGGCCAGTGTACGCAAAGCAACACATGAACATGGAGGTGATGGTGGGAGAGATGAAGGTGGTTGTTGGCGTGAATAAGAGGGTTGGAGATGGGTTTGTGAGTGCAGAGGAGTACAGAAAAAGTGAGGAAGAAGAGAGAGAAAAAGCTGGAATATTACAGGAAATCCAGAGGAGAGAGAAGAAAAAATACAGATTTGTCGGCTGGAGTTAACTCCGTTTATGTGAATTTAACGGAAGGGACTTAATTGATACAATTTATACTACTTTGGGATGAAATAGAAGCATTTTTAAAACCAGATACTAAACAAAAATTTAGCTCTTAACTTGGGGACGAAATAACCTTTTAAGCCTTTATCTTTCTATCAATGTATCTTTTAGGTGGGATTGGAATATTTAATTTTAAGCCAATAAATTTTATTAAATCTTTTTACTTGAATAACGTTACTTTCATAAATATTTTCAAATTCTTTACAATAATAAATTATACTTTTAAAGTTCAATATCCAAAATAAAAAAGAATGTAAAGATGGAATTGCTCATAAAATAGGCATCTCGTTAATGTTATAATTAACTTTTTTTTTATTCAATAAACATGTAAGAATACTCTTTATTGACTCAAAAATGTATTTCCTATGCCAAAAGTTCAAATTCACTCGTTTAGTGTGATTTCTTCTATTTTCCATAGCTTGTAATTATATGTTTGGTCAAATATAAAAGAATGTTATTGTTTTAAAGAAAGAAAAAACCAAAGAGAAAATTTGTAAATGGAAAATATTTTATTTGAATATATACATTAAAAATCATCTACCTCCTAAAATTTTATCAACAAACTAAATACATTTAGTTTATGTATAAATTAATGTATTT